AGCTCTGATTTTCCTCCCCAGTTCCCTCCCTTATCAGTTAGGAAAAGAGCATACTGAGCTGCTGGACGGCTCCCCTGCCAGGCAGGCAGCAGCTGGGCCGGGCTGCTAACTGGGGCCAAAACCCCAAGGAAGAGCTCCCTGGGATACCAGGACTGGCTGGAGGGATGGGATTTGGCAGCTGTTTTCTGGCCAGTGAGGATAACTGTTTCCTTTCAGGGTCTGAGGCAATTGTTCAGGGTGACTTCATGTGGCTTCTGAGCAGGTGTGGTTTAGGTTGGCCCTGTTCCTGGGACTCCTGCTCTCTGTGTCCATGAGGCAGGCCAGTGGCTCAGCATCTTGGCCCTTGGTTGAAGTGATAAGATATGCCTTGGCTGAGGCCGGGCGCGGTGGCTCAAGCCTGTAATCCCAGCACTTTGGGAGGTCGAGAGATCGGGACCATCCTGGTCAACATGGTGAAACCCCGTCTCTACTAAAAATAAAAAAAAAACTAGCTGGGTGTGGTGGCGCGTGCCTGTAATCCCAGCTACTCAGGAGGCTGAGGCAGGAGAATTGCCTGAGCCCAGGAGGCGGAGGTTGCGGTGAGCCGAGATCGCACCATTGCACTCCAGCCTGGGTAACAAGAGCGAAACTCCGTCTCAAAAAAAAAAAAAAAAAAAAAAAAAAAAAAAAAAAAAAAAAAGATATGCCTTGGCTGAAGAGAGGAGAGGGAGAGCTATTGTTCTCATGAGCTGTCACACCATGTCCAGGGATCTGTGATGTTCTGTGGGAGTGGGTAGCTGGTTCTGGGGTACCAAGACCATCCTCCTGCTGGATCCAGGGCAATGACTAACAGTTCTCCAAATCTGGGCTGGCTGCAGCCAGGTGGCATAGATGCAGCTGTGGGTGAGGAGGATACACACACACACACACACACACACACACACACACACACACACACAATTTTGAGTCTTGCTGCAACCTTGGCACACTGCAACCTCCGCCTCCCGAGTTCAAGCGATTCTCCTGCCTCAGCCTCCCAAGTAGCTGGGATTACAGGCACAGGCCACCACGCCGTACTAATTTTTTAAAAATATTTTTAGTAGCGACAGTGTTTCACCAAATTGGCCAGGCTGCTCTTGAACTCCTGACCTCAGGTGATCTGCCTACCTCTGCCTCCCAAAGTGCTGGGATTACAGGCGTGAGCCACCGCGCCCAGTCAGTGGGCTAGATTTCCAGGTAGTATCCTGCCATTTGATGCTCCCTGACCATCCACTATATCAGCAAATAGCCACTGAGCAGCTACTATAGGCACCTGTGATGCCCTTGGACTAAGACCAACACCTTCCTTGCCTCTGAGGTTTGGGAAGATCAAATGAAACAGACGACGGGAAAGGAAAATGTAAACTAGAAGGTGCCTTGCAAGCAGGGTCATCGGTGTCCTGGGAGGTAGTGCGGGAGGGCTGGAGGGGACAGTGGGCTGGAGCGGATGTCTCCGAATTGCCAGGTGCAGTCAGACTGGGGCTCCTTCCCAAGCAATTTATCAGCAGCAATGCTTAGTTCAGGCAGCAGAGGGCAGCAAGGGGCCTGCCTGCCTGGAAAGCAGCCTTTGAATGCTGCTGCTGGTGGCTGAGGACTGGGAAGGGGGCGAGTGAGGCATGTATGGTGGTGGTGGTGGGGGCATCGTGCCCACGGTCAGTCTTCCCTTAGGGATGTGTGCAGGTGGCTCTTCCTGTCCCAGTTTCTTGGAAGCCTGGCTGACCAAGTGTTCAGCCTTCTGGGCCATGGGGCCTGACTCTGCTGCACATCAATTTGATAGGGCACCGGCAGCCAGGGGTGCCTCACTCCTCTTCCTCTGTCCTCAGGCCTCTAAGGATTACATGATTCTATCTTGTGGCCCTTGTAGGGGATGGGGGTGCCTCTCCCACTGGAAACCCATGGCCATTTTTTTGTGTGACAAATATTTTGTTGGTACTCATCTGAGAGGGTTTAAGTCATCTGTTGCCCCTGGACAGCCCTGGTCCCCAGCCTGGCCCACTCTCCCTTGATCTTAATCCCAGAGCAGCCTTTCTTCCAGGATGGCAGGAGAATGTTGTACCCATCACATTCTCAAAACACAGCTTCTGGGTAAGAGTGGCTGCTAGAAGGCAGGAGGGATTTGGGGAGAGAGGAGAGAGCAGGGGCTGTGAACCTGCAGCACCAGGGCTGTAGGGGGTTTTTCCCTGAGTTCTGGAGGCGGTGACAGCAGCTGGCTGGGCTCAGCCTGTTCAGCAGTTGCAGTAAGAAAGTAGGTGAAGGTGACACAAGTGCCTGGCTCTTCAGGTAGATACTACGTGACTCCTGGCACGTTGAGAGTCTGTGTGTTTCCTGGGCGACCAGCTGAGCCAGGGACGACGAGAGGACAGGAGTGTGACAGGAACGTGAGGGGGGAGGCAGTGCTGTTTTCTGGCTGGCCCCTCACATGCCACTACCATACTCCACCAGCACCCTACCGCCTGCGCGATGTTGCCCCCTGCCTGGTGGGGGCACTGTCTTTCTCTAGCTCCCCTGCCAGTTTCTCCTTGTTCTCTGGGTAGGAGCCCCTGCTGATAGGCCTGGGCCACTTTACCCAAGAACACTGCTCCTCCCACTCTGTACCCCCCATCCCCAATATCTACTGGAGGCAAGCGGTGGCCAAAGCCTAGGCTGGCAGGCTGGTGTGAGGGCAGGACCCAGCTCCTGCCCAGGCATGCCAAGGTGCTGGCAACAACGAACTGAGAAGGGTCTAGGCTGGAGGACTCCAGAATTCCATTTTTTCCAGGGCAGCATCTGGCCCAGGCAGGCTACAAGCTGCCCTCCCTTGGAAGGCAAAGACAGATAAGGCAGTCTGGTCTTAGTTCAAGGGGCCAAGGGACAGTGTGTTTATGGAGCTTGCCCCCTGACGATGCTCTGGGCTGGTAGGGTGACGGAGAGGGAATGGGACCTTCCAGGGTCTGCTTCTTGCCCGAGGCCGAAAGCAGTGGAGTAGGAACACTTTGTCCTGTCAGACCCCCACCCTCATCCACCCTAAGCAATGTTTTCTGGCGATGCATGACCAGGAAAGTACCAGACCAGGGACATTTGAACTCCGAGGGCAGGCCTGAGAGCCAGAGGACCTCAAGCCACCCAGAGAAAAGTCATGAGTCAGGGGAAATGCTCCATCTCAGGGGCAGTGTACTTTCTTCCTCATGTTGTCCTGCAGGCACCGTGTGGGCTGGGGGAGCTGACAGGTCCACACCGTGAATCTGACTTCATTATCCTTTGCATGGGTGATGGCACTTGGTGCTAAAGTGAGCTTTGTGACTGGCTTCTCCCTGAGCAGGACCAGGGACAGTCAAACTGGGGTTTTGACCTGGGCAGGCAGCTGTACCTTGAGCAGGGCTGAGCTGCCATGAGGATCAGGGGTTCTTCTTTTTTTTTTTTTGAGACAGTTTCACTTGTTACCCAGGCTGGAGTGCAATGGCGTGATCTCGGCTCACCGCAACCTCTGCCTCCTAGGTTCAGGCAATTCTCCTGCCTCAGCCTCCTGAGTTGCTGGGATTACAGGCACGTGCCACCATGCCCAGCTTAATTTTTTTGTATTTTTAGTAGAGACAGGGTTTCACCATGTTGACCAGGATGGTCTCGATCTCTTGACCTCGTGATCTACCCGCCTCGGCCTCCCAAAGTGCTGGGATAACAGGCTTGAGCCACTGCGCCCGGCCTGGATCAGGGGTTCTTGGCAATCAGGTTTCTTGGATGAAGGGTGGCCCCCAGTGGGTGGGGACTGAGTTGTGAGGCTGGTGGGTGTGGAGTGACCAGGGTGGACCATGGTTGGAGGTGGCCCGTGGGAAGCCGGAGCAGCAGGAGCCAAGCAGCCGGGCTGAGCTGGCAGCTGATAAAGGCTTCAGAGCAGCTCTCAGCGCATGGCTGGCTGGTCCAACACCAAAACTTTCAAAGCATTTGCCTTTCTGGCAGGGTCTGGAACAGGGCTGCGGCTTGGCCGGGAGAGGCCTCAGTGCGCAGGGGAATAGAAGCCCCAGATCTTCATCCAGAGGCGATTTTCCCAGGCTCCTTCCTCCCACACTGTGGCTCCCTCCCTCAGTTCTGGAGCTGAATCAGGCCCTTCCAGCCAAGTCCTCATGGCTGCACGACTTAGCCCTTAGCAGGGCTGCTCCTGTGTGGGGAGGCAAAAACCAGGGCAGAACCCAGGACAAAGGCTCATTAGGGACAGCCCAAGTCCCTTCCCACCAAGGATGGTTCCCAGTTTTCCAGCTGCCAGAAGGGGCCATTGAGCTTAGGAGGCCTGAACTAGCCAAACTTCTATCTGAGCCTTCCCTTCCTGGTCTGGTCTAATCCAACTCAGGAGAGGCTTCTGGGAGTGAGGAAAGACAGGGCGAAATGGCAAGTAGGGGCAAACCACACTAGAACTGGTGACTGCACTGGGTATGGGGTGGGAGGAGCTGCTGTCTCCCTTGGCCCAGCCCAACTCCCCTCTGCCTGTGGATTCAGCCTCCTCCCCCACTCAACCTTTAGCTAGACTTGCTGCCAGGGAACAAAACAGAATGGTTTGAGTTTCACCTCTTCATTTCCTTTACCCTCTCTCTGAAAGTGGTTTTAATGAGCAGTGAGATGGCTAAAAGGGCCAGGTGTGGTGGCTCACACCTGTAATCCCAGCACTTTGGGCAGCCAAGGTGGGAGGATTGCTTGAGCCCAGCAGTTTGAGACCAGCCTGGGCAATATAGTAAGGCTCCATCTCTACAAAAAATCAAAAAAGCTAGCAGGGTGTGGTGGTGCATGCCCATGGTCCCAGCTATTCTGGAGGCTAAGGTGGGAGGCTCACTTGAGCCCAGGAGTCAAGGCTGTGGTGAGTTCTGATTGTGCCATTGCACTCCAGCCTGGGTGACACGCTCTTAAACCAAAAATAATAACGGCTAAAAGGCAATAAAGCACTTCGGAGAATTAAAGGATCTTTCCCCAGTGGAGCCTGAGCACCCAGGCCTCACCTCTTCCCTGTCTCCTCCCAGGGTCCTGGAGTATCCAGATGGAGAGGGGCAACGCCCTGGTGGTGCTGCGCAGCCTGCTCTGGCCAGGCCTCACCTTCTACCATGCTCCCCGCACCAAGAACTATGGCTACATCTATGTGGGCACTGGTGAGAAGAACATGGACTTGCCCTTCATGCTATAGAAGGGGCCAGCCTGGATTTTTAAACACAGAGTCTAAACATGATTTTCTTAAGCTTCAGTGAACTTGGTCCGGTTGTTCTGTCCTACCTTCTTATCTCCATCGTCGTCTGGTTCCAGGTTCTGACAGGCCCACTGAGCCAGGGAACTCATCTCTAAACCAAATGGCAGAGGGTTGGAATGTGCCAATGAAAGATACTAGACAATGATGGGTGGAAATGGCTGTGGAAGAGGGTGACAATGAGGGCCCCTTTGAAGAAGGCAGTTTCTTGGATTCACACGAGCGCAGCAAGTGTGCCAGGAAGCCTTCCTTGGCTCCTTGTGGCTGTCCCAGACTACGGAGCTCACAGCTGTCATAAAGAGGATGGAACCTGTTTGGCCCATGAATTACCTCTGACTGACTCATTGGCCCCATCACAAGAGATCAGTGACTCAATGCTCAGCCTGAAATGTGCCCAGGTGTCCCTGCACCTCCCAAGCAGTGAGCACACATCCAGCGGGTAAGCCCATGAGCCTACTTTATGACATTCCATTGGGCAGAACTCCTGTCCCCAGCACTGAGCATGGCCCAAGCCCCACAGCAGCTGCCAAGGGACCCACCTGCCCTGCTTGCCTCTAGCTCTCAGCATTGCTACTGGGCAGGCCAAGGGTACTGAAGTTTGTCCCACTGTCCCGTCCATCCATGTTGGAGGGGCCAGGCCATCGTGGTGGGGTGGGGCAGGAGTATAGTTGGGGCCGAGGGCTTATGAGTGGGCCTCCTACTCCACAGCACAGGTGCAAGAGAACTTTGGAAGCCCTGCTGTCTGTCATTGATACAGTTTCAAAGGTGTTCTTGAGTAGCAGACATTGTCCCTCAGGAGGGGTGACCCCACGGGCATGGGCACCTTGTTCCAGCGGGGGCCTTTTTTGTAGATGGGCTTGACGGACTTGGGAGACCAGCGCGTCAGGTACCTGTGGAGGGAGAACAAAGATGTGCCTGTGAGGGCTGGGGGCCCAGACTGGAACTGGGAGAGTGGAGCTCTGCCTCCTTAGGCCAGGCCATGGTTGGGCAAGCAAATCCCTTCACCAGTTTCCCTTTCCTGAAGTGCAGGGATTTTCCTGGGAGTAACTGCTGGGTGTCCTGTAAACAGATGGGCTGGGCTCTTGCTGCTGAAAGCCTGTGTTGCCAGGGTCAGGCAGCCCAGAGCCACGAGCTCCCTTGATCTTCATAATTGTCAATGTTTGTGTGTGTTTGCTGAGCAGAGGAGGAAGAGGCTGCCCGAGCATATCATTCCTCTCTGGCCGCAGCCATGGGGTGAGAAGAGCTGATGTAAGGGCCTGGAGGAACCCATTACTCTTCCCCATCTGGCTCACTCAGCCACCCCAGCCTTCAGGGAACTCCCCAGGGTACTATAACTGGTGTAGGACCCCTGCCCCTCACCCAACCTGTAATGGGAACCAAGTGGTAAGGGCCTGCGGACACAGCCCTAGCCCAGGAAGGTTTCTGTAAGTAGGAGGGGGGTGGGGAAAGATGGCTGCCACCCATGGACCTTTGGCCTCCTCTGGGGATGGCCAGGGCCCTGATAGTTCCCAGAAAAGTGGCTCATGCAGGCTGGGATTCGGTTTTACTCTGTCCAGAATAAAACTTGGATCCTGTCCAGAAAGGCCGATCCTTCATTCTGAAAGCTCAGCTATGACAAAGGCCAGGAATCCTCCCCTGCCTCCATTCTAGGTTGGGGCTCATCCCAGCTGTCTCTAGAGACTGTCAAAGAAAACACTTTTTTATTTAAAAAAAAAAAAAAAAAAATCAATAACCTTGGCTAAAAACTCTTAAAGAAGTTAAAAAATGATTGCTGATCTATGCAGTTCAACGAGCTCTGCTGGACCTTGGTCTTCTGCTGCCAGCCCTGTGTGAGGGGAAGATTCGGGAGGTGCTGGCCTGCACTCCAAGCGTACGCTGGGCAGGGAGGGGAGGGCCTATTCTGTGTCTCCTCGAGCTGTCACTGCCCTGGCCAGGGTGATGACTATGAAGGAGGCTAGCTACAGGGACTGCTTTTTCTATGGTCTGTGGTGCTGGGTGACAGAAGATTAAGAGAAAGGGAGGGGACCAGGGATGGCCCCTTTGCTGGCCTCTCCCAGGCTTCAGAGGGGTACATGAAAGATGGGGTAGGAGAGCAGGCTCCCCAGAAGGGGTGCTCAGTGAAATCTGGGGACTGCAGAGGATAAGCTGACCAGGTTCTCCTGAGTTACTGCCCTAGAGCTGTTCTTTCTCCCATGCCTTGGAGAGGGAAGCTGGGCTTTAGCTGGCCTTGGGCCTGATGCCTGTGCCACATAGAGCAGCCAGCTGGCAGGGGGTGGCCTGGGTAGCCTCCAGCCAGCTCTAGCAAGAACCAGCCCCTTCCTACCTCTCCTGAAGGGGCAGCATGAGGAGGGACACAGCGGCAGACAAAGCATGGCTCCACCAGGCCCCAGCAGAGCCTGCACCCATGCATGGCAGCATGGAACGAGACTCCTCTGCAAGGGAATCAATGGCCTTCATAGCCTGAACTCCCCTCCCGCTCAGGGTGGCCTTTTGCAACCAACAAGCCCCCACACATCATCAATCCTGTGTCACGTTAAAGGAAGCCGGATGTATGGGAGGGCGCCTGGCCTAGCTTCAAAGGCCGGAGGCAGCATGGATTGTGTCCTCAGGCCTGCTGCTGTCTCTTAAAAAGCCAGAGGAGGGTGGGCTCAACTCCCAAATGGTCCATAGCACAGCTGGGAGACACAGGAAGAGGTTAGCATGTCCTGCTCCCCAAGAGCTGCTGGCAGATGGCTGAGCTAGCAATGTGGGGGGTGCAGGTCGAGGTGGGCACGTAGCCAGGGTGCCAGCATGGTGTTGGTAAAGGTCCAGCTCTGACTTAGCCTCCAGGTACAGAGAGGCAAGATACCAGGAAGAAGCCCTGCATTCCCACATCCTGCACCCCGCTAACCCTCTATGCCTGAATTCCGCTGGGGATCCGCCTAGGAGGTTTGCTGGGGGCTGAGGTGTCTTGCTTTGCATCAGTCATCTTTGATACCTTACAGAGGCAATTACATTTAAAAAAGGTTTACTTTTGCGTCAACCTAATACGTTCCTCAGTCCAGTCTGGGAACCACTAGCTGCACAGAAGGAAAGGGCCATTGGTAGGGAGAAGAACCCCCTAAAATCTATTTTGCAGACCCGGCTCTACTCTCTAAAGATCTAAGAGGATGTGAGTGTGCTAATGTCAGAGAGAAAGGAGGAAGGGAACTTGCAATAGGACAGCCGCTTGAATGTTAGACAAGAATCTGTTCTCGCTCTACAGGGTTCTGAGAAGGCAGACTGAATGATTCCAGGGGCTGGTGGCCGTCTTCTCCTTCTCTATATAAACTCAGGGCCTCCTAGACTGCCACATGGAACTGTGTAGATTAACTGTACAACCCTGGGGAGCACTATTTGTGACCTAGTTTACATGGATGTTGTCCTGAAGTTGTCCAATGTGCAACCTGCACAGCTGTATTCAGTGGCACTAACCCAGGAAGCCCTCCCATTTCTAAGGCCTTCTGCCCTCTAATAACCCTGTGCTGGAGAGAGCCAGGATACTGAAAGTTTGCAGTGGTACTGACATCCCCATAGCAACCCAGTGTGATGTCATCAATGAGGGATTAGCACATTCTAACGCCCAATCAGCAAGCCTCTACCCTCCTGGCCCCTTTGCTAAGGGCCCTACAGGGGAGGAAAGAGGCTGAGGCCAGCAAAGAAGGCAACAGAAGAAGCAAAGACTGCAGCAGGGGTAGGCTGATGGGGGTGGGTGCTCAAGCTGGCAGAGAATGGAACGGACAGACAAGGTGCACCCTAGCGTTCCTGAGCTGTGGGATGATTTCCGGCAAACAGCTTCCCCAGTGGAAGCCAGTGAAGGCTGCAGGCCTGCAGAACGCTCAGGCTGTTCACACCCAGGTTTGCTTACCGGTTGAGCTTAGGTTTGTTCTTCGGAACAACTCCGTCAGGAAGCCGAGGCCTGTGATTTGGTAACAGACCTGAGTGGAGGGAAAAGGGGACAGTCTTTGCAGTTCCCTCTGCAGCTCCGAGGGGGCCAGAGGGAAAGCCCAAGGGAATGGGGAGGTTGGCATTGGGCAGTGAGTGTCACTAACACTCTGGATATCCAATTTTCTTCCAGGAGGGGACAAAACATGGGGCAGCTGGGTGGGGAGAGACAGCTCCTGCAGCCCTCTGCCCTTGGTCCCGAGGGCCTTCTACCTGCTCGGTGGGCCATCTTCACACACTCCTCGATCTTGCGGTGTTCCTCCCGGCACAGGCCTGTGACCTTTTGGGGTAGCATGCCTCCATGAGGCCGGATGAACTGGCTAAGCAGCAGAACATCCTAGTGGAAACAGAACACAGGGGATGAGGGTCAGCTGGGCTTGCTTTTAATGCTGGGAAGCCAGGGCTTTATGGGCTACAGGCGAGGTGGATGCTTCCTGGGAACCTGCCTGAGATCACTTCCTCCACACACAGCACTGCACACTGGTCTGCTACCTTTATTTACCCAAGAAAGGTTAATCCCAACTTAGTAAGATTTTCTATACCCCATTACCAACCCCAAGAGCTCCCAGCTTCTCCATGAGATTTTTTTTTTTTTTTTTTTTTTTTTTTTGAGACAAAGGCTCACTCTGTGGCCCAGACTTGAGTGCAGTGGTGCAATCTTGGCTCAATGCAATCTCTGCCTCCCAGGCTCGAGTGATCCTCCCACTTTAGCCTCCTGAGTAGCTGGGACTACAGATGGGTGCCGCTATGCCTGGCTAATTTTTGTAGAGATAGGGGTCTCACTATGTTGCCCAGGCTAGTCTCGAACTCCTGGGCTCAAGCAATCTGCCCGCCTTGGCCTCCCAGAGTTCTGGGATTGCAGGTGTACACCCCCACACCCACCCTCATGAGATCATCTTCTGATAGACCAGAGGACAGAAGCTCTTCCAGAAGCGTCACCAATCTTTTATGTACCTGAAGCATTTTTCTTGGACAAAGTGTCTGCTGAATTATCGTCCTAGAGTGGGGTTAGGAGGCATGCCATATGTTTCCACACA